CAGGAGGTGATGCCGGCGTTTCTCATCCCAGGAAGGTGCCGGGGGGCTGGCTGGTGCGAAGCTCTCTCTCCCCCTCCCCCACAACGACTCGTCTGCTCTTCTTTCCTCTTCATTGCGCTAGAAGAGAATGGCGCTGCTGGGAAGGGAACCCCAGGGTGGGGTGGGGGACACACACCTTTTTGCGAGGGGACATGGGTGGGCGCCAGATGCCACCAGAAACGTGATCAGACGCCCGCCCTTGCCCCACAGTTACCAAAACTAGTACCTCAGAGGTATTAGTTTTTAACTGCGCATCTTCGGAGGTAAGGCTCGGGTTCGCCATGGGAGCTCTACGCTTCCCAGATGTGGCACTGTGATCGTGCCCAGATAATCCGCCTATCATTCGACTCAGTAGCGTGGCTACTGCTCCGTGTGACCGCAGCCATACTTTATTTGGTGTACAACAAGAGAACTTTAGCCGGCTCGCAGGCTGGCTTATATCCCCCGTGAATCCACCACCCAAAACACCCCCCCTACCCAATAGGTCCAAACTAGTGGCTGAGAGTCCCACAGGCTCTCAGCCTGGAGCCTAGCCCTCTGATTGGTGCGGGCTAGGATCCGTATCGTCCGTTGTCTGTCGGAGCAAAGCTCGACGCTTGTGCTTGACCGCGTGGTACCCAAGCTGACCATGCGGTCTGGTCCTGATACATTACAGTGTTCATGATCGTGGCTTCTGTGCTGGCACACATGGGGACTGTGCAGTCACAGGCCAGCCATGGAAAAGATTTCCACGCTTTCTAGTAGACTAGGAGTGCCCCTTGTCCCTCTGGTGCTTTCCTGCCGAAACACGCACATGACCAGGAGGAGAGGCGCTAATCCCTCAGTAAGAGATGCCAAGGATGGAACTTGGCCTCTTGTACCTCGTAGGAGTAAGATCAGGTCAGGCTGAGAACGATGCCCAGGGTTACCCATAGAGCTTTGTGCCTGGATGGGGATTTGAATCCAAGTGACTCCAATCCTACTTCAACACTCCTAATTACTACATCAGATTGGGGTTGATGCCCAAGCACTTCTGTTCAGAGTACAATCTATATACTAATAGCGAAGATGCCCCCTTGCGTGCGGGTACTTATTTCCATGCATCTGGGGCACCTGGGGGGGAGGGAGATTTTCGTGCACACTTGGGGCAGTCCCCAGGTGTGCACAAAAATCTGAAAAGTTGGAAAAAATATTGGGGGGATACTTAAATCCCCCCAAAAGAAACAGAGTGTCCACTGCGCATGCGCAGGGAACGCTCTGCAAACTGCCTCGCCGCCGCTTCGGAGCCGGGGGGGGAGAGACCAGCGAGGCCCAAGTGGCTTGCAGCCGCCGGGCCTCACTTTGGGGCCAAGGGTGGGGAGGGGAAAGAGACCAGCGAGGCCCGAGTGGCTTGCAGCCGCCGGGCCTCGCTTCGGAGCCAAGGGTGGGAGTGGGAAAGAGACCAGCGAGGCCCGAGTGGCTTGCAGCCGCCGGGCCTCACTTCGGAGCCAAGGGTGGGTGGAAGCGACCAGCGAGGCTCGAGTGGCTTGCAGCCGCCGGGCCTCGCTTCGGAGCGGGGGGTGGGGGGAAGAGACCAGCGAGGCCCAAGCGGCTTGCAGCCGCCGGGCCTCACTTCGGAGCCAAGGGGGGGAGATCGAGAAGGGGGTGGAGGAGCCGGGG